TTGAAAATTGGTATTAAATTTATAATTTTATTGTGTCATTTGGGGTTGAATGGTTATAATTGTGATAAATTCACGAGTTTTATAAATGAGTAAGATTTGATTGATTTTATTTATCGCTTAAAGATGATGAATTTAATTATGTTATGCTATTATTTTTTTTTGGCTTGAGATATTTATTATATGGGGATGAGGTGGATTAAAAATATGGTGATTGTGTTTATAATTATATTATATTATTGGATTGAGTGGTAGTAAATGTAATAAATTCATGAGTCTTATAAATGAGTAAAATTTTATTTATTACTTAAAAATTGTAATTTTTAATGAATTATGTTAATATTTTTTCCGAAGGCATTTGTATATATAGTGTTGTTTTGAAGAGTTTTATATATTTTTTACGACAGTTCTATTAATATAGAAGATATGATTGACGATATATTTTGAGTCATGTTAAAAGAAGGATTTGTATTAATATTTTTAGACAATTCTTTTTGAATTTAGACAATTATGTAAAAACATTGTGTTTGTTATATATTACTTTTCGGCACAGATAATGATTAGTATATATATATATATATATATATATATATATATATATATATATATATATATCACTCCATTACACCAATCTTTTGTACAGGTGATCTGTTTCCAAAAGGTAGTTTTCTGCATTCATGCGCAATACTTGTCTATACTTCCAAATGAAGACTGAATTGATTCTCTTCACTTACTTTAGCAAGAGAAAGAAAGTGCCGACAACTCAAGATGGATTCATGTCCACTGACAGAATACATTCCAAGTCATTCCAATCACTCTTCCTGTTAAATGGAGACGACTGGTGGTAATTCTAAACACTTCAAGGTTACCACTTTTTTTTTTGTCACAGTAATACAAAATAAGGGCGGATGAGACTTCAACCTTGCATCTGTACCATGACGAGAATGACACCGACCACTAAACCAAACTATGACGAGAATGACTTCAACCTTGTATGTGATAATGCAAATTTGGAATTTACTTTATAATCACTAATTTTAAAAATATATGATTGAGATACTTATATATTTGTTAGCCCAGAAATATAATCAAAATTAAATAAAAACTAAAGTAAAAGAGGAGATATCAGTGAGGGGCTAAGGACCGACATTTACGAATATTTTTATCACTATTGTAGTAATATCAAAAAAAATAGTAAAAATAATTATCATACCAATGATAAAAACACTCGCACTAATAGTAAGAACACTCGCAAATATAAAAAATCACCAACAAAAGTGATAAAAAAAAAATTATCTAAAAAAATAGTAAAATTAATTATTACAATAATGGTAAAAACACTCATTACAATGATAAATTATCCACAAAGTGATAAATTTTTTAATTGTAAAATAACCTATAAAAATTATAAAAATACTAATTGAATTAATAAAATTTAAAAGTACGATATTTTTTTTTGGGGGGGGGGGGGGGGGGGGGGGGGGGGGGTGGTACTATAGTCCAGTGCTTTTCAGGAAATTGGCAATGAAATGGCAGGTAAGGATCAGGAAATAGCACCTGTGCCACCTGCCACCAACTAGCATAAGCACTAGCGAACGTCTTAACGCAAAGTCCCTAAGCAATGCCTTTTACGCGTATTGCTTCATGTTTGTGGGGTGAAAACATTTAATGCAATGTTTTTCATCGATCTACTATGAATGACTGGAAAACCATGAAAAGATTTTTGAAGCAAAGTAGCTGGAAAAAAAAAAAAGAAGAGTTTCCTGCAAAGGAGACTTCTGTGTAAAGCAGTTTGACATCTCTGCCATTGCTTGGATTGCAATGAAAGTCGGGGTAACTCAAGTGCTGCAAAGACCACCCACACACATACACATAGAGAGAGAGAGCTCTAACGTTCACGTCAACCTTCCAAGATGAATAATTTTCAACAATATTTGATTGTTTTAGACCGGACTTCCCACCTTACCCAACACTGAAAGAGCCCTCCCAACTACATTAGAAACAAGACATTCCTCTCTTGTCTTACCTGCAGAAGAAAGAACCCAAAACACAATCTAGAGATGCTCTCTGCATTCGGAAACTGAAGAAGCTTTCGGGTTTGAGATCAAGCTCGGGAAGTTTTCGTGTTTAAGATCAAGTTTATTGCATTGAATGGAGAATTAGGCTCCATTTATTTATCAAGCAAGTTTTGAAATTGAGTTTCAACAGGAAGCACAATATGGCAACAAAATCAGACTTTGCGCAGAAACTGCTACACGATCTCCGGAGGCGGAAAGAACGGATGGCTGCATCTCAAAGCTCAAGTAGTTCAAACACAATGTCCAGAGGTAAATATAGACTCTATACTACAGAGTATATAAACAACTTTTGTTTCAGAGTTTAATTTAATCAGTACCAAGCAAGCAGAAAGCCCAACGGGTGGTGTAAAACACTGTAAATGAGTCTACTGTTTCATGTATTAGAAAGCATATGTGGAATTAAACAGCAGTGCAACGAGAGTCTGAATAACTTCTCATTGAAGTTGCTTACATGCAAAATACACTGACATTGTGTTACAATATTCTTGTTCATTAAGTTCAAGCAATTCCAAAAGCAGCAGGCTGAGTATAGAAGGATCAATTGGAAACCACATAGCTGTAAAAGAAAAGAACCCTTTCACATGCCATTAGTTATTTATTTATGTGTTGGGGAACTGGGTGTTTTGGGGTTTTTTTTTTTTTTTGGGGGGGGGGGGGTGAGGAGGGGCATGTAGAAGTACTTTTTAGTTATTTCCTGGAGAAGACAAACTTTTCAGGTAAATCTTCCTAATTTTCCTTAAAAAATGATCTTTGTTTCCACATTGTATGCTACCTCCTCAGAAGGAATGGGGTAAACTTGCTTTTCATGTAGGAAAATACCACTTATACCTAATTTGAGGCCTAAACTGGGGTCTTAATCTATTATAGCCGTTAAACTCGAAAGTCGATCCCATCTGTCATTGGAATTCATAGCTGATCTCCTAGCTACAATGAATTTGGCTCCCAAATTAAGTCGAAGTAGCATTGCACATGTATTGACTTTCACTCTGAGATTGGGGCAAAGAAATCACAAACAGGATCATTTGACTGAAATATAGTACCTCAACCGAACCAAGGATCTACTCTCTTAGATAAGGCTTCTGCATCTGTAAAATGTGATAACTACATGGGTTTCAGGACCTATAGGTGTTTCCAAATCCTGAAGTAATGAAAAAGTCACGGTAACAACACTAACAGACATAAAAAACCTTGGATAAGCCCTGGCTGACTTTGAGAACCATGACTAAAGGACCAACATGTAGAGTTAAACATTTTTAGTTTGTGTTTGCATAAATAATCTTATTTTTTAAATTTTCCGTGTCTGGATCAACAGATGCACATGGAAACCCTGGGCAAACCTACAGAGGATCCCAAAAGATAAAAGCACCTGAATCTGTAAGTTCAATCCTTAACATACCTGAAAATGTGTAATCTCTGAGACAATTGAAGTATTAGGACAAAATTTTGTATGGTTTATGGTTTCTTGCCTGCAGGTTGGTTCCAAAACTGTGACCTCTCAGAGAAGGCAGAATGGAGGGAATCGGGTACTGACACTTGAAGAATCTTCACAACAGATTGTTCCTTATGGAAGAGGCCGAAACTCAGAACAACTAGGAGACCTGTCCATGGCCCTCACTTTTGCACTTCAGAATGGAGGAAAACTCAGTAAATTGGATTCTTCAGGCAATGACTCAATGCTAGGTTTCCTCCGTCATATTGGTAGGAAATCACTGGACATCGTGAAGATACAACGAAGAAGCAGTTTTGACAAGCACCGCCCACCAACTATCCAGTTCCCTACAATCTCTCATCTTCATATCAAAGATATATCAAGAGGGGTACAGAACTTAAACCAGATTCTAAGAGCCTGTTCCAATGGCCTCAACTTTGATGGGTATTCCATAGAAATTGGGAAGGAACTGTTGAAAGGGGCAATGGATTTGGAAGAGTCCCTGAGAGTGCTTGCCAACCTGCAGGAAGCTTCAGAGTACATGATCAGCCCTCAGAGAAAAAGTCGAATCAGATTACTCGAGGAGGATGAGGAGGATGAAGATAACACTGGTAAAATAGTTGAACAGAAACAACTGGACCTGCCAAGGTTCTCCTTTGATAAGCCCTCCAGGAATTCTCATGGCAACAAAGAGGTTGTGAGGACCGATCGCAAGCAGAGGCTGTTGGCCTTGACGTATGCAACTGAAGCTGCAACTCAACCCAAGAAGCAAGCTCCAACTACCTCAAATTTGATGCCTCATAGGAGGTCCACCAGTTGTGGCCCGGATTTCAAATCTCTTTCGCCATTCCAAGAAACAAGAAATCACTCCAGTTCGTTCCACTCCACACAAGAAAAGGGGAGAACGGCAAATGTAATTGCAAAGTTAATGGGCTTGGAAGAACCTCCTGAGAAGGTAGATTCACAGATCAAAGAAAAAGACTCAAGCTTGCAGCAGAAAGGAATGGTAATGCAGAAGACTGAACATGCAAGAACCAAGAATGTTACACCAAAGATCAAAAATGTCGAGAATCAAGCTCCCCACACCATTAAAGAAAAGTTGATACAAGCCAACAAAATACCACCAAATCGAGTTACTACATTTACACAGAGACCTGAAAAAATCCAGGAGACCACGAATGCCTACACTGACATGATGTTACCTAATGGCAAACCACAAAGGCGGGACTTGGAAAAAGCATATGGAATAGATGCAGTGTCAGGCTCAACAAAGACTGCCACTTCCATAAATATCAAACAAAGCAGCATTATCCAATTGAATCACCTTCCTGGAAGCCACTGGAATATACAGGAGAACGAAAGAGGGCACAATAATCCAATGCAAAAGGAACAGAAAAGCACAGAAAAGGGTCAGACCAGGGAACCAGTCTTGAAGGATGAGCGGCAGCAGAGAGCAGCACAGAAGCATAGAAGTCCAGACATTCCAGACATACTGCAAGAAAATGCTGAGAACAATGAAATTGCAATTCAAGTGGAAAAGCAAAATGCAAACAGGCTTCTTCCAAGCAATCAACAGAAGCCCCGGGACAACTATGGATTGCATCAGCTGCACATGCTCCAAAATATAGAGCATCAACAGGAAAAACACCATGTTGAAAAAAGAAAGCAGACTGCCAAAGAGAAGATGCAGCCCAGAAAACTTAAAGGAAGTCAAGCAGAACCCAAGGTTTCATTGAAACCCACATATGGTTCAAGAAGTTTACAAAAGAAGCAGGCAGTTACGTGCCAAACAACACCTAGTAAGATAAGTTCTATGCAACCTACTGGTGCAAATTCAGCTAAAGAGTTGCCAAATAGCAAACACAATGAAGATCTTGCCAGAGATGAAAGTTCAACCAACTCCATAGCCAACCCGAAAAAGTCCAAGAATGGAAAGTCAGATCAGAAAGCAACTTTAAGTGGTGGAGTGCCATCACCTATACAAGAGAATCCTGTGCATGTCCCAGCCACATGGAAGAAGGTAGATTATATGCAAGTGCAAAGAAGTGAGACTCCTAAAAAGATAGCTGGAGTAATGACAAGACAAAATGGAACTCTGCGTAACACGGCAAAACCATTGAAGCGTCAAATTTCCATTTTGCAAGAGATGAAACAGACAAGGCATGACAAAACTAGCAGTTCCAGAGGAGAAGAAAAATTCAGTGCCAATTGGTCCAAAGAAGCAGAAGTGGGCATCATTGGATCCAACAAATCACAACCAACAATGCAACCACTGAATGGGGTACAACAATTGCACAACGAAGCCGAAAAGACCACTACTTTGTACAGTTCTGTTGGAGACCCTAAAGTTCCACAAGCCCTAATTTCAAGTGACAGTGTAAGTGCACCTTATCAAAACTTATGAATTTTTATACATAAAATATGACTTTTGACTGTTTGACTATTATTCAAACAATATCCTACTTCTTTGTCTGCAAACTACATCCTGCAGGTAAATTACTCACTATGCTTTATTTGATGTCTTGCAGACTGAAAATATAGACTCAGAAGTTTTTATGGTTCCTCAAGATCACCAAAGACAAGCAACTATTTTAAGAGAAGATCCTGAATTAAATTCCTACAAAAATCCACCAAATTTGCTTAATGGTAAGTACAACTCAGCATTTCTTTGTAAGTTCCCAGCTTCCCTAAAAGAGACATTGTAAGTTCTTCTCCCAAGCAAATAGCAGAAGAAAAATGAATGCAGAAATTTGAAACCCCACGCAAAAACCTCTAATTAGATAGTATTTCGCTCCATAGAACCATCTGTTAATCCTATCTTCCCTTCAAGGTCAAATAAGCAGCGGCCTGCGGCAACTTATCACTAAGAAAATCCAAAACACTTTTAGAAACCTATTTTCATCTTGTAGATGCGCAGAACCTAACATTCAAAACTTCAAGCCAATTTCAGTTTCCGCCAACAGATCCCTACTTCTACACTTTAATATTATTTATTGTGCTTGCCTTAAAGACAACACATACATAAAAACAGTGGACAACAAACAGTAGTTAATCCTAATTCTTCTGTAGTTGCAGCAGACCAGAAAAGAAGCATGGAAATTGGTATACTTCCTCAACATGAGCACAGTAAAATGTCCACATCAGGGACACCAGAACCATTGACAGAAAATGGAAAGCACCTAAGGAAGATATTGATGACAAGTCAACTCTTCCTCAACACTGCAGAGGCACTCTTCAAGCTTAATATTCCTGTTGACATTCTTCATGTCAGAGATCCTAATTGTCATGATGAAGATGCTAAGCTCATATTAGACTGTGGCTATGAAGTAATGAAAAGAAAAGGAAGACGACAAGAGCTCACTACTCATCCCTCTGTGAAGATATCAATCTGTTATGTAAATATAAGCTCCTTCAATGATTTGGTCACACAGTTGTATAAAGACTTTGAGATGTTAAGAGCCTATGGTCGGGAGGGCAGAGAGGAATTAAATGATGCAGACTATCTGCTTAAAATGCTTGAGAGAGATGTACAAAACAGAGATCCAGATGTGAATGGTATGTGGGACTGTGGTTGGAACGAAAAGATGTTCGCCTTTTTGGACAAAGATGGTGTCATAAAGGATGTGGAAAGGCATGTGCTCAACGGACTCATAGATGAGATCACGCAGGATTTATTATATGTAACTGCTTCCGTTTGATCGAAAAGAACAACAATGTCATCTGTCATAACTAGTTTCTGAATAATCTGTGGTGTAAAGTGAGTTTTGTATGGCTGGATTTGTTTTATCGGGTATTTATGTGGAATATGGTTTTGCAAGGAGTAGTAATTTTAATGTAATGCTTAAGCAGATTTGTGATTTTTAGTTTTGTTGCTATCTTTCTTTCCTTTTCTTGGTTCTAACGTTTGTATCTGTCCCATGAATCACAGTAAAGGTCTTGATCAGTTGGTCCTGATTAACCAAAAGCTGCTGGAAGCTATGGACTGTGCAGAAACTTAACCATTTTTTTTTTTTTGAAGAAATAGAATTTTTATTTATTGAATGCAAAAATTACAAGAAGCAAAACAGTCACTGTTTTTAAGATATACAAGGGTAAAAAAGTAATTCTATTTGTATCCCCTCTGTACAGCTTCTCTTCTTCCTGCTGAAAACCTCTTCCCAAATCAAGGCAATAACAGACCAGCTGAACCACACAAGTTCATAGCAGAACAATTGAGAGACTTCCAAATCAGCTGAAAGAATCCATCACATACTTTATGGCTTAAAAATGCTTCAGCTGATTACAACTGATCCATATACCTCCATTAATCAGAATCCAAACAGCCTGACAACTGGAACCAGAAACAAGCAGCTCTTGAGAACCAGCAGTCCAGATACTGCTTTCATAAGTACACTGCTATGAGAAATCAGAAACAACCCTTTTTAATGCCCAGATGCTAAGCATACTCCAACTGTCCAACTGCCCTAAGCAGTCTTTACTTGAAGCAAAAACAAATCAACCTATACCCTGTCTTTGTCCACAAATCATTCTCTTCAATCTGGCAATAGGTAATCCATTCTGATCTTGCTGCAATATCACCCTCCCAGAAAATGGAAGAACATTACTTCCAGAAAATTCAGTACTCCTTTCTGTTTGAACAGCAAAAGAAGCTAAAAAATCAGCCAGCCCATTAGCTTCCCTATAGATATGTTTAATTTGTAGATCCAACATGCCAAACAACAAATTAATCCTTTCTAACAAGTATTGCAATTTCCATGGAACAGCAGCTAAGCCCATCACCATTTGAACCAATGTTTGAGAATCAGACTCCACCATAATTTGAGATGCTGACAAACCATGCTGCAGAATCAACAATAATCCATCAAACAATGCCATGCACTCAGCTAACATATTTGAACCAATTCCATAAAAGCAAGCAGCAGCTAAAATCACTCCCCCCTCAGGATTTCTCAACACCACCCCACCACCTGACAATCCAGTTTTACCTTTAGAGGCACCATCAACATTAAGCTTCAGCACATTTTCAGGAGGAAATTCCCACTTAATCCATTTGACCTTAGTGATTAAGGAAAAAGGATTTTTAATATTCAACTCTCCCAATAATTCCTTTCCCTTACAATCATCATTTGTTCCAGGTTTGATAAGAAAAGCCTGCCATCTCAAAGTACTCACAAGCTGTAGAAAAATTGCATGAGCATTTAGAAACACTCCCTCATACTTCCTCCTACATCTTTCCTTCCACAGAGCCCAAAAAATTAACATAGATACTCCCCTTGTCAGACTGTGACTGATTGAAGGAGCTTTAAACCTTCTTATCAGTCTCAGAAATCTGCATAAAGGAGATTCTCCTGATAGAACATCAAACCCCATCATCACAGCAACTTTCCTCCAGACAGCTTGAGCCACAGAACATTCAATGAATAGATGAGCAATACTTTCTCCAGCCATACCACACATTAAACACTTACTAGCCATAGCTACCCCCACACTTTGTATTCTATCATCAGTAGTTAGTGCCTTTCTAAAAATTTTCCAAGTGCATAACTGAGCACTAGGAAAAGTGCAGAAACTTAACCTTAGGCCATATCTTCGCAAGGTAATTGCCATTTTAAACTACCAACTTAGGGTTGAAAATCCAAACTTTTTAGCACTAAATTATGATTGACCTTTATATGTATAGCAAAAGGCATCAATTTGAAAATCATCTACAATGTAAGCATTCCATTTCACTTTTCACTGCCCTTATAAGCCCAACTCGCTTAAAAGATAGCTCTATCACCAAATATGTTACTTGAATTTTAAACTGCACATATAACATCCTAACCAACTCTATTAGCTTATTGCAACTGATATGCAATCAATCTATTTTGAAAAATAAATATTGAGCAACACCAAAATGCAATTTTTTTCCCCTAATTTAAAAGGGTTCGAAGGGGCAACCCGGTCGAAACCCTGTCTAGGATAACCATAGGTACTTCCAAAAGCCGACTCAGAGTCATAGCCTAACTCCGCAGCACAGAGCTGCTAGTGGGAGCCGCTTGAAATAAACCATGAACCATTTACATTGAGAATAGCCTAATTTAAGAAAAAGTCTGATAGAAGTTCTCCACGTTTTGGAAAACCAAAGTCAATCAGAAACTGAAAACCTAGGAAAAATGGCCCTTTTTTTTTAAACTTTTCGTTGTTTAGAGAGAATTAAAACCTCAAAAATCCTAGATTATAGTATAAAAACAATCTCGTCGACTGTTCAATTCAAAAGTAGGCACGGAGTGAGTATACCTGCCGTTAATCTAGAGTTGGAGTGAGTATTCAAATGAAATATTAATCTGCTCCAATCCAATCAATATGCGGAATCCTTTCTAGTTTCTACAATTGCACCGAACTTTTCTATGTCATCTTACATACTTACTAGCAGCAGCAGGAGGACCTCGGAAGCCTTGATTACGAAAAGTATTTAAAAGATAAAATATACCCACTGAGCAGTAAGCCGTCTTAGCTCAGCTGGTAGAGCGCGTGGCTTTTAACCACGTGGTCGTGGGTTCGATTCCCACAGACGGCGTTGCTTTTCGGTTAATATTGTTAGTGCCCATGGTTTTATTTTGAGTTTTTGCGGTGGTGACTTCTTACATTTCCCATTTTGGGATGCAGATTCTTGGCTGGTGACAAACATTCTAACCAATTTTTTTTTGGTTTTTTTAGTTCAATGGTTAGGATCAGTGTGTATGCATTCAACTAATCTTCTCTTCAGTTCAGTGAAAAACAAAATTATCTATATCGAAACTAGAACATTCATAAGAGATAAATTCATTATAGTTTGATTTAAAAGGGTTGTCAAGATTTGAGCTTAAAATGTCTAGATTTACAGTTCGTCTCTATTACCACTTAAAATATCATTGAAATTTAAGTTAGGACATTAAATAATTCAGTTTTTGTGTTCAACTAAAATTTAATTCTAATTCTAATTTTGAGTTGCAAAATCCAAGATCAATCACTACTTGGATTGAAGGCTTTGAGTCAAATTGAAGTTTGGATTCTCATTCAACTTGAATTGAATATTTTATAATTTAAGTAAGAGTTCCGAAAATGTCTAACATGTCCAAGTTATACTCGTATGATCTTCTCCTTATAAAACTCTAGACTTTGTAACTCCAACCTCCATTGAAATGTAATGGGTGGACATTTGAAACTTTTCAATGTAATGGTGTGCCCCATGAAAGAGTAGTAAAAGATGCCTTAATAGTATATTGTCTTTTTGAAGGAGATATTTTTTCGCAATTGTTTCAAAATTTATTATTAAACTTGAGAGTAAACTCAAATTTATATTTAGTTTTGAAGCACAAAATTTAATGTTTGGTATCTAATCTTGCTCTCATTACGTACTAAATTATCGTTAAAGCGATCGAAATATTAGTTTTTTACTCAAATTTAAAAAACTTGTTCCAACCCTTGACTCAAATTTATACAAAATCAAGGGAAACTCATTTTGTTTACTCAAATATTTAATGGTGAGATTTCACAATCTTTTAAAGATCTAATGGTCATCCTTACTCTTTTTTAAATTTGAGTTTGCCCTCATTTAAATTTGGATCTCTCATTTTTTAAATTTGAGTTTATCTATTGGAATCTTTTATAATAAATCAAACTTTTTACTCAAATATTAATTTAAATTTGAGTGGTAGATGGAGATGCTCTTAAAACATATTATGATTAATTCACAATTTACAAGAGGAGTATTATACCCATTTCATTTCATAGTTTCTATTATGAAAAAGGGACGGATGCCACTGATAGGGGAGGACAGTGTTTTTTTCCTAATAAGAAGAGATCTAGTTGTTATTTGACCAATTTTCAGAGAAGATGAATATAATTTACCCTAAATAAAATGATACTACGAGTTTGACTCATAAATACTTCCTACTTAAAATGATACTACGAGACGAGTTTGTTATTTGAAAAGGTTACTTGTGAACGAATTATACTTCCTACTTAAGAATGCCCTCTTTTATGCCTTTGTCCTTAAAGTGACTAATATAAGTTTTACGTTGTAGAATGGTTAAATTGAATCCACTTTTACCACAAGTACAGGTAGGACATATTCTCATGCTCCGGAGGGAAGAAAAGGGGATTTCTTAGTGTAGAAGGAAAGGCATTAATTTCAAAGACCTGTCAAATTAAAAGAAGAAAATATTACGTTGGCACCCCTTGATATTTACCGAAAATGCACTTTACATCCCGAGGTTAAGAAAATATTGCGTTGATCTCTTGAGATTTGAGATCAAGTAGCAGCCATTGCTAATAGACAACAATTTCTTTCCTAATAGAGAGTTTGCGAATGCAAATTTAAGGATTCAATTGACAAAAAAAATAAAAAACTTAATTAACATAAATATCATAATTTAAACATCTTATGTGTAATTTACTCAACACACATGTTATGACAGACGCGTGCGTCATACAAGAGCAGCTCCAACCAAAGCTTCAAAATCCAAGTGGACAGCTCCAACGGCTTTTTATTTGGCATCAGCACTCCTCCAATTTGAAGCTTCAAATTCTGACGAGGCCTTCAAAAAAAAAGGCATGCTGCCAAATTCTTTTTTTTTATTGATTTGGTTGAGACATTGTCACGGAGAGTAGTAAAATATAATTTGGTTTGAATTTATGTTTTAAAATTATATTTTTAATTATCATTTAAATTTGTATTAAGTAAGTTTAATAGGAATTGTCGTTTCAATAAAATATATATTACTTTTCATATAAATTATATAATATTATATTTTTAATTAATCCCAAAAAAATATTTTAAATGCACGTATTAAATTAA